GGGGGGGGGGGGTTTAAGATGGAGGATTACGAGTTTTTCTTTCTTTGTTTGTTTCTTTTTCTCATTATTTAACAATACAAAAAGAAATAAATTAAGAAGGCCAGATACCCAAATTTTTCAATCCTTCTAAAATTATATTTAACGGAGTTTAAGTATACCTATTTAAGGAAGGCAAATAATTAAGTTTCACCCTCGTTTATCGTCTTCCCTAGCTTTATATGAAATTAAACATATACTCTAGCATAATATCATACTCCCTATGTGCAGAGGCAGAGCAAGGATTTTAATCTTATGGGATCTAGATTTAAGAACGACGACCTCAGATACTAATAATTGGGTTCTAAAATTAATATTTTTATATATTTAACGAATTCTTTAATATAAATACACTGTTTGAGCAAAAATACTGGGTTCTGCCGAACTTGTATCCGGGCTTCTAGCTCTGCCGCTGCCTATGTGACTTCATTTGAATTTGAAGAGTCAAACTTCTTAATTTAGACCGTAAATAAAGATATAGTTTTTTTTAAATTTTTTGTATAAAATTTACATATTTAAAAACTACGTAAAAAATAATATAAATTACAATAATTAACAATTCAAAATATTTAAAGACATATAAAAGTATCGCGATCAAAGAAAAACCTATTTGACTCTCGAAATCCGAACATTAAGCACATAAAATAGGACGGATAGAGTATTATATAATTCTTTCGATGTTTTATTTAACGGTAAATGGTCAGATATGTCCCTCTACTATTAACAATTGTTTATAAATGTCCTTCGTTATACTATCAGGTCAAAAAACTCCTTACCGTTATACTATTAAAAAAATGCCCCTAAATAGACGGAATAGACACGTGCCACTCTCAGATTTGGTTGACCCATCCCCAATTTAAAATACCCTATACATCTATTATCCGACCCGTTATCCGACCTTAAACCCCCTCCCCTAAAATAACCCCACCAGACACGACCCTCTTCTCTCACCTCACACCAAAACCACCGGAAAACATGGCAGCTCACGGAAAAATTCCTCCTGTAGTACTAACATCCACTGTCCTACCCCCCCTTCGTCTCCCTTCTTCTCTTCTTGTTTTTCTTCGCGTTTCATCATCCAAAAAGCAAACCCATTCCACCAAATAAGCGAATGGAACCGGTGAAACTCGCCGGAAAAATTACAAAGCCGACACCACTACAAATCTTTGCCAAAATACCACTGCCTTACTTTTGTTGTCTTTTTCAAAACAAAAAAAAAAAAAACCACCACCGCCTTACCCCCTTCCTTCATTTTCTTCTACTTATTTTCTTTTTCTTCTTTACAATTTGTTGGATCTAAAAAAAAACAGAGGTTTTGCCTTTTTTTTAACTTCGCCGAAAAATAGAACCTAGCCAGGTCCCACTGAAATTCACGGATCTGCTTATTAGTTTTTATTTTTCCTGTGACCTTTAGATAGCTGCTCATATTGATATAAAAATCGATGACCTTAATTAGAAATCTGCTCGTGTTAATAATAGTTGATAGAAATTACACTAAAAATTTATTTTAATAATTGCTAGATACAACGCCAGAAACCTGCTCGAAATTACACTAAAATGATGCCCTTCTTTCCATGACCACCACACATACGAATCTTGAGGTAAATTTCCCTAAATTACCCCTCTTAAAGATTCATTTTTTACAATCTGGGTTTATATGAATGAGTATCTTAGTATTTTCGGATTTGTTGTAGAAAAGGTGAAAATGGTGAGCTCGTTAAACCCAGATTTGGATTTGGATGTCAAGTATGTGGGTTGGAGCGGATTCGGTCCAATTTGGGTTATTAAAAAGAACCAGATGGCCTTGAGCCTAAAATCAACGCCACATGTCTATTCCGTCTATTTAGGGCTACTATTGTTTAAAGTGTAACGGTAAGGAGTTTTTTGGCCCGATAGTATAACGATTATATTTTTAAACAATTATTAATAGTAAAGGACCATATCAGACCCTTCATCGTTTATTTAATTATATTATGAATCGTGATATCACTAGTGGTTAACAAAAATACGTATACCTCAGAAGTTTTTTCATAGCAGAAGAATTTCATTTTTGGTAATCTTTCATTATATTCCACTTTTAGGGAAAAAATAAAAAAGAACTTTCCATTTGTCAGTTGGATACTACTGCACTTAGTTAATTAATGATTGTGACAAATATTTCTTCTTGGCATTTATAACGTTGTGTTTTCCGGTGTGTTGTCGGATTAAAAATCAATGCTATCTTTATTTACAGATTAATTAATGCTACACATTTTTCAACTATATCCACTCACTAAAAAGCATATCTTCTTAATTTCCAATTTCCATTTCATTTTTTATTTTCTTTTTTGTTGTTGTTATCTTCGAATTTTTCCGTGCGCATCTCAAATATTCTATCAGGTACTTGTTAGCTCCCACTAACATATGTCTTAGACCGGCTCACGTATACTTCGATTATTCACTAGATACCTGCTATCTATCACAAACACATGTAATCGGCTAGCTCACGCATGCACTGAATATTTTACTGGATACTTGCTACCTACCACCAATCAGGGGCATATGTGGTGTATTAATAACGGATTCAATTGAACCTATAACTTTCGCCGCAGAGTAAGAATTTATATGTAAAAATTCATTAAAATTGCAAAAATAGTAAATATGAACCCATAACTTTAATAATATAATGGGTTCAATGCTAAAACCTTAAAAGATGAACCCATAGAGTTTAAATTTTGGATCCGTCTTTACCACCCATACAAGTACCAAGCTAGTTCTCGCACTCCTTAACTGTTCCGTCAAATACCTTCTACCTCCCAACAGTACATATATCAAGTAAATTTGCCAATCAAAGCTTAGGCAAATAAAAAATTCATCTCTTTTTTATATCCGCTCAAATTTGAATCTTAAATCTTACTTCCTCCGTTTCAAATTAGATGAGATACTTTTCTTTTTGGTCTGTTCCAAAATAAATGACACATTTCTAAATTTGAAAATAATTTAATTTTAAACTCTTCATTTTACCAATTTTACCCTTAATGAGAAATTTTTATAACCACACAAATGGTATAGTCCCACAAAGTTTTTACCCCTTAAACTTTTAAGATTACAAGTTTTAAAGCCTTCTTCTTTTTCTTAAACCTCGTGCCGAATCAAACTACCCCTTCTAAATTAAAACGAAGGGAGTATGATTTTCCTCAGGTATCATTGATCACTAAACCACAACCTTAATAAAATATATGTCATATGGACTCTTTGTCAAAGCATAGATCTCTCCGAAAGAAACCAAAAAAAGAGAGAGAAAAAAAAGTTGTCCCATCTTCCTTTCTTTTTCTCTTTCTTTATTAACTTTTTCAAAATTAGTTTTGTATAAATAGGATAAATCCTGCTCTTTGTTGTCTCATCTTCCTATGTGTTCTTCTTTTTCTTGAACAGTTACAGCTTAAATTAAACTAAAGATTTTCTATGGCTGATCAGATAGCAGGAGGGGCTAATGGGAATCATGTTGTAACTTTGAATATTAAAGAAGATGATGATTTGAATAACAATGATTCTTCTTCATGTTGCAGCTTTCTTACTGTTCCTTTCATTCAGAAGGTAAACAAAGAAAATAGGCTTCCTAGAAGTTCTTTTACTCACTATCCATTTTATTGAAGACGTTGAATTGTATGATCATCTTATCTAAAAAGATAAAATTATCATATTTTGAACGCGTCCTTTCACCGATCTAATTCTTTTCATGGCTTAACTTTTTGTGTGGGCAAACAAGTGAAAATTCTTTTTATAAAATGATGGTAAGACTTGAATTTATTACCGGCTGTGTAACCATCTTGTTTAAAAGCTTATTAAATTTATGACCACTTCATTTAAAAGTTTACGTTGTTAAAGGAAACCTTTTCTTTACTACTCAATCTCTATCCTATTTTATATAATGATATTTGACTGCGTACAAAATTTAAGAAATAAAAAGAAAATTGAAACTTGTGTGATTTAAAAATATAGACATTTAAGTAGCTATAAAATCGTATTATTTAATAATAAAAGGAAAGATTTAAACTTAAATTGCTTCTAAGTATAAAAACCTACTATCATTTTTTTGTGGACAAACTAAAAAAAATATTTCACATAAAATGGTACCGAAGGAGCAATTAAATATATCTTCAAAAGGAGGATGGGAGAATTTTCTATTTTTTTATTTAACTATATACAGAACATCTACCGGGAATATATCTATTTTCTATAGCTGCAAAGTTAAATATGTGTATACCAGTATATATAATATGTGTATAATTATGTATAATCTATGTATACTAGCAAAAAATAAATAATGAATAAGGCCGGCTATTTGTATAATATCCCTTCTTTTCGTTTCTTGATCAGTTTTGAGATTATTATTACATGAATTAATAATGTTGAAAACGTACAGATAATAGCAGAAATGATAGGAACATATTTCTTGATATTTGCTGGCTGTGGATCAGTGGTGGTAAATGCAGATAAAGGAATGGTAACATTTCCAGGAATAGCCATAACTTGGGGACTTGTGGTAATGGTCATGGTTTACTCAGTTGGCCACATTTCTGGTGCTCATTTTAATCCTTCTGTTACTATTGCCTTTGCCACAGTCAAAAGGTTCCCTTGGAAACAGGTATATTTGAATAAAAATTAAATTATCTTTTTCTATGAATATAAAGTCTTCTGAGTTTTTAAGGTCATTGGTCTTGAGAAAAAAAAAATATTTGTAGATTTTGAGGTTGAATTGAACTCTTTTATGTGTCATTGGTCAAAAGAATTATGAAGGATTAATTATTTAGATGCATTTACACTATATAAATAAAAATATTCCCTCCAATCAGGGGCGGAGCCAGCATGTCACAAATAGGTTTGGCTGAACCCAATAACGTTGGTTTAAAACTTATATTTATCTTTAAAACTCATTGAAAATTATTGATTTAAAATTCTGTAAATTAAAATGATTAGAATCCCGAACCCATAAGCTTCAAATCCTGATTCAGCATTGGCCTCTGATCCCAAATTAATTGTTTTGACAAACTGAATTTATTGTAAAATATTTGATAATTTAGAATAATGAAAAGTCATATTTTCAAACATAACCTTACTGTTCCAATTACTGAAATATTAACTAAGTGAGACGTTTAACGAGAGATAAATGATAGTTTAAATAAATGTCCATAGGATTACGACAATTAAATATCTTTTTTAAAGAAAATACATAAAACTTTAAAAGATAGATAATATAGACCGAAAATAGTATTATTTTGATGTACTTAGAATTACTTTTTCTGGTATTTATATCATTGCTCCAACTAATCCGAATTCGCATGCATAAGACTCATTAATTAATTTAATCTAAAGAGATCGTTTATGTTTGTATACTCTCTCTAACCTATTATGTGATCATTATTTTTTTTTATTAATATTATTATTATTATCATTATTATTTTTATTATTATTAGTAATTTTTTTTGCAGGTACCAGCTTATGTAGCAGCTCAAGTTCTTGGAGCAACCCTAGCAAGTGGAACTTTAAGACTAATATTTAATGGAAAACACGATCATTTTGCTGGAACTCTACCTACAGGGACTGAATTTCAATCATTCGTAGTTGAGTTCATAATCACATTTTATCTCATGTTTGTCATATCCGGCGTTGCAACCGATAATCGAGCTGTAAGTACTCTCAGTATCTATCTATCTATCTATCTATATATATAAAATCAGACTACGGATCGAAGAAAAATAGTTAGCCCGCGCTATTACTAAAAAAAAGAGAGACTGTACTTGTACCACTATGGTTCAATGTTCGAATCCCATAATTCCATGATAGCGGCTGTTTTTTCAATTTTAGTGACTGAAAACTAAAGTGGTTATTGTTGCAAATATTGTCCTTTTCTTAATCATCTAATAAAGAGAGGCTATACTAGGGGTGTGCATTCGATTTATCGATTCGATTTTGACCCTTATCGATAATTACTTATCGATTATCGATTTGTACATACGCTTATCGTTATCGTTTCAATAAGGTTTCGATTTTTTCGATTTCGATAACAAATAATCGATTCAATTTATCGATAAACCGATTCGAATGGACACCCCTAGGCTATACTTGTACCAGTGAAGTTCAATGTTCGAATCCCACAATTCCATGATAGTGGCTATATTATCAATTACAAAACTAAAGTGGTTATTTTTGCAAATATTGTCCTTTTTTTAATCATCTAATATTTGACCTTTATTGACCCGACTAACCGGATTCACACCGGGTTAGCTCAGTAAGGAGGTAAACTGATCCCTACCAAGAGGTTTGTCATTCTTAAAGCTCAAAATCAAAACCTTTGATAAAACGCGAAGAAATCACTCATCCGATTGGACCTTTTAGTGGTAATTTTTATAATAATGACTGATGTATTACTATATTTACCAATCGCGGTGTCACACGCTAAATATAGATGTCAAATAATCATTTAATTAGAACAAATATGGTGCCTTTAATTAATGAAATCTTTCTTTGAAGTAATTTAGTTGAATAAACAAATTACTAAGGAATTCTTAAACATCATCATTTTTACATAATTTCTATCTTTTTATAATTTTTATGATTGCAGATTGGGGAACTTGCTGGTCTTGCAGTGGGCTCAACCATTTTGCTTAATGTGATGTTTGCCGGGTAATTTCTCTTTTTTTTTTTTTTTTTTTTTTTTTTTTTAAATGTTTGCTTTATTTTAATTACTTTGGTTATGTGAGCATCTCTTTGAGTAAAACGAGTTGCATATGAGAAAAATTTGAGATCCTTACATAAATAGCCGGCCGAAGTCTTGGGAATAATGAGGAGGGAAAAAGATATCTCGGTAACAAAAACTATAGGGGTTGTATTGGCGAGATCCAGCGGTGAACAACCGCCCAAAAGAAAAACCACCTGGAAGTCCGAGGACCTTTATAAGTACTATACTCTACCCGAACCAACAGCCGTCGTGGGAAGCTCGCTACGACCTCTGAACGACTGTCCCATCTTATCTGGATTTGGCTATACTTGTATGGAGCCAGCCATGTTAGCTCCACATGAGAGTCGGATTCTATATTTACTTTTTCTAGCCGTTATTGAGCTGAATTCACTATTTATTTTTTCTAGCCAACTTACATAGATTATACACAATTATACATATATTATACATAATCACATATTATATATCCGTCAACTATTTTTAATGAGTTTATAATGGACAGGCCGATATCGGGAGCATCGATGAATCCAGCAAGAAGTTTGGGCCCAGCAATAGTGTCAAGCCATTACAGAGGACTATGGATTTACTTAGTGAGCCCAACACTTGGGGCCATAGCAGGAGCTTGGGTTTACAATATCATTAGATTTACTGACAAACCTTTGCGTGAAATAACCAAAAGTGGCTCTTTTCTTAAATCTAAAAATTCTAACACTTAAATACAAAAACTCCACAATTAATAAGAGAAGCCTACTTTTTTCTTCTCACACGAGAGAGAGAGAGAGAAACAGAGACTACTAGTTATGTGGTTACTTTTGTAATATACAAAGGGAAGACTTTGTAATTTGTAAAATAAATGAAGTTAAATCGATGCTTTTAGTAGATAATTGTGGCAAAAGAATAACCCTCCTACATAGCAACAAGGGGCAAGTGCACAGATATCCATTTTCAGGGATACTATTTAGAGATTAGCCAGTACTTCTTTTGTCCTGAAATTTTAAACTAAAAATTACAATTTTGGGACAATCCGGGACACTTTTATCCCGAAAAATTAAACTGAAAAATTAAAATCCAGGACAAACTGACTAATTACTAAATAGTAGCCCTTAAGAATGGCTACCTGGCATCATTTCTACCATAATGTTGTGAACTTTCACAACGGGCTAAATTATGCAAATGTTTTTTTTTTTTTGTCATTTTTTAGATTGTCCCCTTTTTAAAAAGTTGTGCAAATATAGCCTTTTACCCCAACAAGGCAACAGTAGACTCAAAGTCTAATATTTGTTTATATTATTTTCAGTTCGCTCACAAAATATTAAATCGTGATGTAATATTTTGAAGATTTTCAGTTTGCTCAAATTGAATCTTTAGACCATGAAGTAAAAGGTTCATCAATTTCAAGAGAAATAAAAAGAGAATCATTTACTAACAACTTATACAAAAAGAACAACGGACGAAAATTTGACAACGTCTAATTATAGAAGATTTCAAAATACGAATTGTTTGGTCAGAAGGATTAGAAAGATAATCCCAGCATAAAATGTAACATTTCATTTGTGAAAATTAAATATCTTAAAGGGTTTCAACTTTTTGCCGACTATCAGGGATTCAATTCTCAGCTAGACTAAAAAGCTAGGCAATTTCTTTCCATCTATCAAACACTTCTTTAGGCAAAATTGAACGACAATAATATGGCTCTAATAGTTCGTTACACCCCGAAACTAGACATGAAATTCGAGAAATATTCTCTTGGAGTTTTGAGGCTACATACTTAGACATGCATTGTTTGCAATAAGAATGAGTACATCCCATTATTTTGAACATTTCACTCATTGACTTTTCGTCAACGCAAATATCACACGTAAAAATGTCATCATCGTCATCATCTATAACAATGGACGTCGAATTTGAACACCTTTTTGAATTTTTGGAGAATGAAAAATTAGAATCCAAAATCTGAATTTCTTCATCTGGGGATTCTTTAGATAGATCAATAAAGGCCTTTTTAGTTCCACTGCAGCTAGGTTTTGAACACAAAATTTTAAATAACGAAACTTGATGATTTCTTTTCTCAATAACATCAGTAATCTTGGCTCCTTTGCTCTTTGAAGTTTTTAGGGTTTCATATATTTTTGAAACATCATCATCGTCATCGTAATCGTCGGCAATATCTATTATTTCCGTGACAGTACAGTGAGGATTCATATAGCCGAGCCCAACTTGATCATTCGGAGTTGCAAATTGCTTAGTTTTTGCACTGAATGGAAAGAACTGAACTGAGGAAAGTTTAAACTAGGGTTACAGTGACCCTTACGGTTTCAGAGGGAAAGATTATTTTTTTATTTTTTTATTTTGAATTTCGTGATGAAGAAAACTATGCGTTTTTTTAGGAATCTATATCGGCAAACCTTCAAAGTTCTATTAATAGGCAATTTTTTTTTTAAGTTATTTTTTTTTTTTAACTTTTTCTTTTTTGGAAGTGGGAACGTGAATAGTTGAGAAGAAAGGTAAAAGAAGAGTCTTTGTATTTTCTTCTATTTTTGGTCGCATGGAGATATTTAAGTTTAATCTTTATTTGTATATTTTCTCGGTGGAGCCCGTCGTAGGGGGGTTTTGTTTCGTACGGTTTACCTTTCTATGTGATTTACGGGCTATTACACAGGAGCAAATTTATGGGTGATGTGCACAGATAGCCAGTAATAGCATATGTCTTTATTTTTAAGCCACTGTTTTAAATGTCTTTAGTCTTTTAGCCACTGCATTAATAAACTTTTACCTGTCTGGACGAAAATACCCTTATGTTATAAGCTTATACCTACGCTCCTTATTAACGAATGTAAGAGGTATCACACTTTTAAACTATGAATGGCTTTCACTTTGTTTTCCATTCAACTCGAGCTCTTTTCTAATGAATAACACAAGCCAATTTTCTGGATATAGTGTCGGATTATTGAACGAATTTTGGGCAGGTTTTCGAAAAAATTGCATTTTGTTTATGCATACTGATTTTGGGCGAGGTGTCCTGTTTGATTGATATGATTTGACTTCTTAATATGATGTTTTCCCTCTGAATGATTGCCCTCTTTTCTTATCTGTTTGGTATTTTTTTGTGTTTGTTATTCAAACCCTTCTATGCTTTGAAGTTAATAGAATAGTGTTCTAGCCAAATAATTGCTCTGGATTTAATTTAACTGTGTTGCCCTCACAACAAGGGCTTGAATCACCAAACTAGAGTAGAGGATGGAAATCAGCAAAAGCACCGATGAAGGTCCTTAACTTAGAGTTCCAAGTTCAAAAGTTAAGGACCCTTCTATTCCAAGTATTTTCTTAGCTTGTGGATCCGTGAGTTTTCGAGTTTTGGGATAGTGTATCAGATTTTGAGAAGTTGTGAGTATATGCCGAGTGGCATTTAAACATTGTTTCCTTCAGTTATTTTCGGCTTTTGATTATTTATTCCGCAAGTTTAGTTTGTTTTCTGCATTTGTTAGGCTTACCTAGTCGTAGAGACTAGGTGCCGTCACGATAGTTCACGGAGGGTGAACTGGGTCGTGACATAACCGTTGGCCTTTTTTAAAAAAAAAAATTGAAAAATAGCCGTTGGGCCCGTTTAAACCGGCCCAGGCCCGCCAGCCGGTCCCGAGCTAAACGGTCCCGGGCTCGTGGTCTCACCATAGAGGACCGGCCCACAATGGGCTTTTGGGACCGGACCGTTTGGACCGGCCCCTTAGGCCCGTTTGGCCCATGGGCTCGCTGTCCCGGTGCGGTCCCGGGCTGGGCCTGGCCCACAATACACCCTTAATTGTGTATAAGGTGGGTTTATACACTCTATTATACATGATTATACATAATTATACATAAAAATTGACTTCGTCTTATTCATTGCATATTTTCTGAAATTTAACTGAAATCTTGCTCAAATATACTCAATTCACTTCAAATCTTGCTCAAATCACTTCAAATTTAAATTTTGAAATCCTTTTGATATTTTCAATCAATTGGAACAACACTCAACCCAAACAACTAACAAATTCAAAAAACCCCATTTTCGAAAGCAAAGCTTTGAATGGTCTTCAATGGTGGACTTCTACTCTTCAATTTTCTTACATTGCAACCAGGTGACACAAGAGAAGAATCAAAAAATACAGCCCCTTGAAGCATATGTAGAAGATGTGAGAAAATGAGAGAGTGAAAACAATAGTTGTGAGAACACAAATTTAACTCCATAGCTTTTAGAAGCAATGGTTGTAAGAACACATATTTTGAATTTGCTAGTGCTTTCAAAATATGTACAATGTGGGCTAGGTCAGGTAAAACTTAAAAACATGAGCCATTCTATGTTATTGTATGAAGTCATGTGTATTTTCTTGTAATTCTTTCAATTCTTTAATATGTGTGAAAACAGTCAAAAAAATCAATTAAATTGGACCACAAGAGCAACAAATTAGTAACGTATTATAAAAAAGGGGCTATTAGTGAGAAATTAGTACACTTTCGTAATTCCTTTTTTTTTAATGAGAACTATTATTTTGGTAATAGGTTAAAGTATGAGGGATATTTATTATTTATGTCTTTATTACTAAAGAGTTTTCCTAGAGTCCTAAGCTAAAAGGAAGTAAGAGAACTTGCCCAACAAGGTACACACTCCTTATTAATTGGTACTCCTCCTCAATATTACCTTTTTAGAGTCCCTAATATCTCAGAGTCTTCTTCTTCCTCGCCAAATTCAAGACCCAAAAAAAAAAGAGTAAGGTTTAGTTTTCCTGCTTAACTACGTAATGAAAGTGGAAAATACTTCGGCCGTAAAGATAATAGATATTGAAGATGACAATGATGATATTGCAGTAATATATGAAACCCTAAATACTTCAAAGGGTAAAGGAATCAAGATTGGTGAAAAATACTCAAGGAAAAGAGACGTCGAAGTTGAGATTATATCATCTTTTTCTTCAAAACCTAGCAGCAGTGGAACTAAAATGTTTTAATTGATCTATCCAAAGAATATTCAGATGATGAAATTCAGTTTTTGGGTTGTCAATTTTCATCCTCCAGACCTAAAAAATCAAGAAGGTGTTTAGATTCGAAATGTATTGTTATAGATGATGACTGTGATGACATTTTTACGTGTGATATTTGTGTTGACGAAAAGTCAACGAGGGATATGTTTAAAATAATGGGGTGCACACATTCTTATTGCAAACAATGCATGGTTAAGTACGTTGCCTCGAAACTACAAGAGAATGTCTCTACAATTTCATGCCCCGTTCCGGGGTGTAACGGACTATTAGAGCCATATTATTGTCGTTCAATTTTGCCTGACGATGTGTTTAATAGATGGGGCGACGCGTTATGTGAGAAAATAATTTTAGGGTCTGAGAGATTTTATTGTCCGTTTAAGGATTGTTCCGCGCTTTTAATTGATGAATGTAGTGGTGGAAATATGGTTATTACTCAATCAGAATGCCCAGAATGCAAAAGGTTGTTTTGTGCTAAGTGTAAAGTTCCTTGGCATTTAGGGATTTTGTGTGAAGAATTTCAAAAATCAAACAAAGATGAAAAGAAAGAAGAGGAGATACAGCTTATGAAACTTGCAAAGCGCAGAAGATGGCAGAGATGTCCAAGTTGTAAGATTTATGTTGCAAGGAATAAAGGTTGTAACCATATTCACTGCAGGTTAGTTAGTCCAGCCTCGAAAAAATTAATTTTCTGCTTCTGTTTCACGGGCTATTAAAGCCATATTATCAATTTGTGATTTAAAATACTAGGTGATTTCTTCTCATCTATCCAAATCTTGATAAAAAAAGTTATGTCGTACATGTTGCTTGTAAGAGGTAGTAGGTACTCCAGAAATTTTGTCAAGATGGTTAAAAAATATAAAAATTAAA